AAATATCTTCATGAACATGATCTTTACTTAATATCCTAATGATTTTTGGCATAATAGAAAAATCTATAATTTTGATCCATACAATGTATTGTTGGCTATTGCTACAAATATACCCCAGCGACTTAACACTGCTTTTGTGCTGCAGAGTCACATATAAACTATGAGATGCACTGATAACAATTTGTTTGTTTTTTGTAAGTTTGACCTGCCGATACCGATTTTCTTTCTAAGCACTATAATTGACAGCATGTACAAACAATAATCTAAAAAAAAATAAAAAATTACATAAAAGAAATTAAACATTACAGTTCCCCTAATGTGGACTAAGTTACAAATGTTCTCTCACTTAAACATAATAAAGTGCTCTGTGACTGGAAAGAGGCAGAAATGAGTTGCTGTATGTAACAAAACAGATGTCATTTTCCCACTGTTTATAAATGTTTTCCCTAACCTTATTAAATGTCATCTTTCACATCAAATTCTTACGATGCTTCAATTAATTCAGTTAGAATAATAAGAAACTGAGTTGTTACCATCACTCGCCGTTTACACAATGCAATAAAAACACAATCGGTCTCGAGCAAAAAGTTTTGGTGGCCAAGTTTCAGTGCTTCCCAAGTTATGTTTGTTGATGTTTTAATCAGGCTTCTAGTCCGGTCGGGCGAGTAAAATTCTCTCGCCCAACCGAACAAGTTTACATGCGGATGTGAGCATAAGTGTGACGTCAAAACATGTGGAAGATCGCCTGATTCCAGTCCCTGGCCGGTCGATCGGTGCACCTCTATAAAAATCATGCAGCTTCGCTATATAGTATGTCACTTTATGCAAATCTCACCTCCTAATGGAAAAGTTAACTTGTCGCTGCTGTGAACTAACCTCAGCACAAAATAAAAGTCTTCGGGTCATCTGGCCTTATTAGATGTGAACACAGTGACTTCAGGAGGTCCATTGTTTCATGACTTCTCCAGCATCCAGTGTCAGAATGATGTGTTTGTGTGCGAGTCGGTCTGATGGAGTGTGTGTGTGTGTGTGTGTGTGTTTGTCCTTCAGCTGGAGGGAGGACGGAGCTCGGCTAAGAAGCAGCTGTCAGATGAGACTCTGCTGCGTGTGGATCTGGAGAACCGCTGCCAGAGCCTCATGGAGGAGCTGGACTTCAGGAAGAACATGTTTGAGGAGGTCAGTCCCATTCAGCTGTATCAAACCAAACTAATGCCTGAAAGACTGAGAGACGTCTCATCTGCCCTTAGTAGTGAGCATGTGGTTTGAAAGACCGAGCACACTGATTATCTCAATGCATACAACACACAGGAAGACCAAAATGAACACCGGAACATTTAAGAAACTAAATGATTTGATTTATCCCACTGACTAGGTCTGAATGATTCATCGGAATCGAACCAAAATCACGATTTGGCTTGATGCGATTATTAAATCTCAAAGGCTGTGATTTTTAATGAAATATCTGCACAGCGTCAGTAGTAAATGCTGCCCATCTCTGCGAGCGCTGTGAGTTTGAGTCGCTTAAAACGTGCGTATTCGAGTGTTTGTCTTTGTTTTATCATTCAAAACGTTTCTTTTTATTGTCACCGCAATAGCTAGATGCGTTTGTCCATATTAGGGATTTCCTGGAGCGTCATGAGTTCCTTTAAATCTGTGATGCATATGTTTATTGTCTGCGCGAGGGCGCCCTCTGGTGTCCAGTATGAATGAAACGGACATTACAGTACATCTGTTTATAGTGCTAAATAATGGCCAATCCATAAAAATAATACTTCTCTCAAAATAAATTTTTGTATGATAATCCATGTTTTTCTACAATGTACAGAAGTGTACTGGAGTTTTTTTTTTTTTTTTTTTCAAAAAAAACA